AATTAATTAAAGCTGATTATTGAAGGTCCTTCTATGGCATATACAAGGGATATCACACCATGCACTTATCATAAATACCATCTTCATATTTAACATGGAAAGATACCCACAGTACTTTGCTGGAGTGGGTTACAGAAATATGTACAGCATAACCCCATTTTTAAAGACTTTATTTATTTATTTGAGAGAGAGAGCGTGAGAGAGAGAGAGAGCACAAGCAGGGGAGAGGGTTAGAGGGAGAGGGAGAAGCAAACTCCCCACTGAGTAGGAAGCCTGACATACGACTAGATCCTAGGACCCTGGGATCATGACCTGAGCCGAAGGCAGATGCTAAACTGACTGAGCCACCCAGGTACCCCATAACCCCATTTTTATTTAAAATTTGTAGGTAGGGGCACCTAGGTGGCTCAGTTGGTTAAGCGTCTGCCTTCAGCTCAGGTCATGATCCTGGGGTCCTGGGATCGAGTCCCATGTCGAGCTCCCTGCTCAGTGGGGAGTCTGCTTCTTCCTCCACCCCTCCCCCTGCTTGTACTCATGTACTCTCTATCTCAAAAATAAATACATAAAATCTTTAAAAAATAATAAAATAAAATAAAATTTGTAGGCATACATGCAAAGAAAATTCTAGAATATAAACATACATGAATATTAATATAATGAATATTAATTCATGTATTGATATACATGAAGATTATAGGAGGTCTTTGCTTTTCTCTATACATTTTCTGGCATTTGGTGGATTCCTTCTGCACAATAAGCATATATTACTTCTAAAATTAGAATAAAACAATAAAAATATTTCAAAAAAAAGGAATGCTTTCATGCATGTGACTTGTGTGAAAGACTGTTGATCAGTATACCCAAAATTATAACGGGAGATGTCCTCTACCCACTGCGGAGAATGGTGTCAACATCCAGCACTATTCTCCGAAGGGGATCTCGTGTTCGTGGGGCGCTGGAGCTTGAGGTGAGGAAGGATTGCCTTTCCAAGTGAACGGGGTCATGGGAATCCTAAAGACCCCTAAAGTGTGGGTAATTCAAGGGTCCCTGAAGACCTGGATTCTGACCCCGGTACCTACGTGTCAGAGAGAATGCGGATATTATAAGTCCCACAGAAGACATTTCTCTCCTCCATCTGGACCTGCTGAGTTTCCTGGTTCTGGTATGCGGCCCACAGGTTGTAGTCATTCTAACAAGGGAACACTTGGAGTCAAAGCACAGTGGCAACTCTACCCCAGACCCCAAACATGCACCCCCTAAGGTCTTCCCGGGCAGGGACATAAGGGCCCAAGGAGTCTTCCTCTTTGGGCTATGGCTGCCACTAGGTGTGGGTAGGGAGGGACCCATGAGCAGGCCCTAAAGAATCCACGGACAGTCAAGGGTCCTGACTCGTCCTCCATCTCTTTGTATTTTCTGTGTGTTCTGGTTCCATGAACTTTCGAGGTCAGTGATCGCTCAACTTTTCCAAAAATGAGCTCACAAAGGGTAATGCTTACAAAATAGTCACAGGCTATTTTGCAGAAGTTGGGGTTTCGTGGGTACACTGCATATACCTTACAGTACAGAGCATATTGATGGGAACTCAAGCCCTATGTGAAATCACAGCTACACACTCTATGCATTTGTGCCTCGAAGTCTGCACACAGAGGCAAGCTTGATTTCTCATGAAGTACATCACTTGCCCCACGAAGTATTCTCATCGTTTTAGATATGAGATACAGCTGAGCCCCAGAGAGAAAAAATCAATTTTATCAAGTCTCAACGGGGGTGTTTTCCTTCCTTTTTTAAGAGTTTCTTCCTTCCTTCTTTCCTTCCTCCCTTCCTTCCTTCTTTCCTCCTCCCTCAGTCCCTCCCTTCCTTCTCCCGTCCCTCCCTCCCTCCATGGCACATGTTCTGAGACACTATGGCCTGCCAGACATACTAAATTCTGGCACAGATGACTCAACCAGCCTCTCAGTTTCACTCCTCTTTCTGGCCATACTCTTCACCCTCAAATAATAGGAAATGATAACCATGCTAGCAGGAAACCAAAAAACAGTGTGAGTTTATCATGAAAGCAAAGAAAACCACAGCATCACATTTGGACCTGGGAGCCCTCCTGGGAACATCTCTTCAAAGTCTCCTTCCTACTTAGCCCTCACCATGCCGGTCGACTCTTCCTTGGGATGCCTGTTTTTCTCGGCTCAACCTCCTTCTTGATCTTTAGCCCAGTAGTGATGTCCACCTCAGGAGCCTCTCCGCAGAATCTGTCAACCTGCCTCCCCTTTAATGTCCAAGCAGCTCTGATATCCTGCCTTGAATTAATCAAGACTTCCTTGGCTTCTCACGCCTGGGCTGGAATTCCTCGGCTCTTTGTCATCAGCTAGGTTTTGAGAGCCTAGAAGCTCCGTGGTGGAGTCATTGGGAGGAAAAAGACCTGATTCAAATCCCAGCTCTGCCACTGACCAGCTAGGAGACCTTTGGCAAGTTCTGGAATCTCACAGCCTTCATTTCCACATCCAGAAACTGGGAGCAATGATAACCACTCGATCTACAGTGAAGATCAAGTGAATGATGTCTACAAAGCCCTTGGGGCCACGCCTGGCACACCATTCAACCTCAGGACCCATGGCAATCATCAGCCCGGAGAAGCACTATACCTTTCGCTAGCAGACTCCTTAACTGCCTTGTCTTGTTCCTTCATGTTTCTTGTCTGTTGTCCATAGGGCTTTACCTGTTTCTCTCTCTTTTCTTAAATTAGAACATTTCTAAAATCTCAAACGCTGCTTGGGTAGTCCTTTTTTGTCAGGCAATTACTAGCTATGTCACCTAAACAAGAAGGGTGTTAGTTCTGTTATACTTAGAGCAACAAGCTTGGAAAGAACGGGTCAGTGTCCAACTTGTATCTCTGTCACTCTGTCTGGGAGACCTGAAACTCTCTGCACCTCAGTCTCTTCATCTGTAAAATGAGTGAATGGGCCAACTCAAAGATAAAAAGTTGCAGGTCAGATGAAGTCCACAAATGTGTTTTCTTTGGCCCCCACAGTTTAAAAAAAAAAGAATGCTTCTAATTGGTTGCCCGCATTTAAGGAAAACGAGAGATGTCACAAGATAATTCAGATTTCTAACTTTTCTTGAAAGCTCAGATGGACGGGGAGGTTGAGGTCCACAGTCTCCCATGGCAATAATTCGCCGGAGCTGAGTAGCAACTGGCCCCTTCAGATGGGGAGGGAACTCTCCAGCTCATGGTGGTTCTGTCACACCCACTCACACCACCAACCTCCCTCATTCCTGTGACCTGTCTAGCTTCTACAGACATATGAACTAGATGGTCGCTCTGGTCCCTTCTACCCCTCAAATTCTAACTCATACTACACAGTTTCCGTATGAGAAGCTACAGTCTGGCCACCCCTCATTAAGTATCCTTTTGGGGCCCACTGAAGAGATTTCAAAAGAGAAGGCCCTTGAGCAGAGAGGAGGGGGCAAGAATCTGATGGTTTTAGGAATGACCACCATGCCTGGATAAGCTATATAGAGAGCTCAGTCTTTCATCAGCTCTTCATCATTGTCTGAGATTTGATAGGGAAGTTTATGGCTAAGTAACTCCCCCCCTTCATTCCTAGAACCAGAATAAACCTGGAAGTGAGAGGGGAGAGAGCTTAATTCATTCGGGACCCTGGACATTCTGGACCCTCCCTGGCCCTCACATTCCTGAGCCACAGACTCTTACAGCCTCTGGATGGGTAGACTGACGGATGCTGAGGAAAATCCCAGCTATCACTGACAGCCACTCATTTCACAGATGAGGAATTTAAGGCTGAAGTAGAGGAAGTCATCTTGCTTAAGGACACACAGCACAGAACTCTGGTCTCCCTTAGGGACTGTCACCTCCCAGACCCTAAATCCATACTCTATATCCTCTATCCTCCCATTTCCTCTACCCTCATGTGACAGCTGAGTCTGGACTCCAGCATGGCTAAGGAGAACAGGACATCACAGTGACTTGCCCCAGATGCCGCAACCACCCACCTTTGTTCTCAGTTTCAGTTTCTGATTTTTCACACGCATGCGCTTCCCGTTATCAGTTATTTTAGGAACCGGGATAAAAAGCCTGTTGGCATAATGAGGATCGATTCCCTTTGTGTAGGATCCCTGACGGAAAACATAAACAGAAAATGGTTATTACTCTTGGCCCTTACGCTCCAAGAGGAGGGGGAAACTAGTACTTGGCAAGATCTGAAAGGTGGGTAAAGTCTGGCGAAGGAAGGCCCAGGCCTGGCCCGTTAGGCTGGTAGTATGTGCAGATTGGCGTGGGGTGGATGATGAATACCAAATACATAGAGGGACACCAGCAGGAAATGGCCAGCAGTCCTCAGTTTCCCAGAGGATGGCCCGCCTCACAATGCCTGCCTCTCCCTGTCTTTGGTTATCTACGTCTGCTGGGAAAAACTCAAGCTACCAGGAACCCATGATGTAGGGTAAGGCTTCAGGCAGGAAACAGAAGTAAAAATGTCAGAGATGGGGGCGCCTGGGTGGCTCAGCTGGTTAAGCGACTGCCTTCGGCTCAGGTCATGATCCCGGAGTCCCCGGATCGAGTCCCGCATCGGGCTCCCTGCTCGGCGGGGAGTCTGCTTCGTCCTCTGACCCTATCCCCTCTCATGTGTTCTCTCTCTCTCATTCTCTCTCTGTCAAATAAATAAATAAAATCTTTAAAAAAAAAAAATGTCAGAGATGGATACTATTCCAGGAGAATTGCATCTGGACCCAAGAATATGCTTTTTGATCTTTGAAACATCTGTGTACCATGTGAGGAGGCTCAAGGAACATACTCATGGCCCTCTTATTGCAAAAGCCACAATATAGCTCTCTGGGGAAAACAGTTCCCCGCTCTGTGAGGTTTCAGAAAGACTCTGCCTCTCTCTTCCTGAGAAGTTTCTATATATGCTGTCCCTGCGAGGGGTGATTAACAGGGAGACCAGACACAGAGGAAGCGACTACTGAAGCCTACAAAGCAGCAAACATGGAGCAGAAGGCCAACTAAGGGTCTACGGAATAGACCAGAAAGGCCCCAAATCAGGCCAAGTCCAACACGGAAATGAGGCCAGGCTCCAGATCAACCCCTCCCAGATAGGAAGTACCTGCAAGAAGGTAATATGGCCCTGAATGAAAGTATGCATCGACAGATCCATCTTCACCTGCTGCACCAGCATGGCCCAGTGCCGGCTCACGGAGGCACACCTGTTCAGGCTGTTTTTATCCAGCATACCTGAAACAAAACAAAACAAACCAAAGACATGGACCTGGGAACCTCCCAACCAAGCCACGATGCGCAGCAACTCGAGAAATGCCCCAGCACAGGCCAGCATACTTAGAATATACTTGGAGAGGTGGATGGGCAGGTAATGGATGACGTCCCGGAATTTGCTAACCCCGGATGACAGGTCTTTGACGACATCCAAATCAACCAACAAATCGGAGGGGGTGTATTCTGCCTTCGACAGGTCTGCTTTTCTGGAAAACAGCCTATTCATCTCGGAAATACACTGGATCGAACTCTTCCATGGTCCTTCTAGAGGAAAACCAGACAAAGGTGCAGGATGGGGTTGATTTTATGGTAACTCCAGGCCAAGAGAAGCCCTCAGCAAACCCTCTCCCCAGAAATAGAGCTCATCGGAATCCACCCTTAGACCACTGGATTTTTGTCAATATTTCTGCCAAACTGGAAATAATAACCTCCCCAACCAAATGCACAAGGACTTTTCAGCCTTCCCAGTTCCAGGAGATACCTAGAGTAGCAAAGCCTGCCCCACTCAGGTTGAAATGGCCTTGTGCCTGGAATTTCCTTAGAATACCCCAAGGAAAAAACAAATTTAAACAATTTTGTAAAGGGGCAAATGAATGACATGAATGAGTCTAGTGTTGACAATTATCGAAGTTGAGGGATGGTTATGTGCGTAGTGATTACACTGTCTTATCTGTTTATGAAATCTGGAAGTTTCCAGATAAAAAGTGCTTGAGAATCAATGCTTTGTGTTTCTTGTAATTACATCACGTAGAGATTTCGCTTCACAAACCAACTCAGGAGAGCCTTGAGGTTAGGCCCCAGGTCCCCCTACTGCTTTTGTCTCCTCCTCAAGACTGAATCCAGTGCTATAAAAAATAGGCATTGGTGGGCTGACTTCTAGAGGTGCCCACCACACCAAAAGGTCAGGGGTCAGATGAGGGATGGTGGCCCGGGGCAGAGGGAGACTCCAAAGGAAACCCTTTGATAGTTTCCTTTCTGAGCTCTATTTTCAGGTGTCTCTCAGAGGCACCAAGATGGAGAAGTGAAAACATGGACTTTAAGGTGATAATGACTACCTTTAATTCTTGCTTCTCCCATACCGGATGCGGGATTCGATGACGTCATAAGGATCAGTGAGCCCAACACACTGTTGGTGCCAAATGAACGTTCGTGTCCAAAATCTGCCACCCCCAGATGCTACTGCCCTGTGCCTGCCACTCCAACCCCATTGGGACTTCCCAATCTCCTATCTTTTAGCTTTCTTGCTACAAGCTGACTTACCAATATTAGATGCCTCAACTCCCATGTTTTCAAGCGACTTTTCTTTTCCTGAAGCTCTGGACAAAGGGAAGGATGCGTTCTTGGTGCTAGCTGCCCAGAAAACATCTGAGGTCTCACACTGCGCGTTGTAGTCTTTCTCGGGAAAGAAAAACACATCACTAGTGTCTTGATCGAGGCCTGAAAAGCCAATGGCCAAGACAAGGTTGCTCTTTAAGCGGGGGTGTGGAGGAAAGGAGGTGAGACCAACACTTTAATTTCTACTAGCTTCTCTTCAATCTACATGAAACAGACCAGGCCAGTTATGTCTGGTTTTTCAGGGGCGGGGTGAGGAGGGGGCTTCAGAGTTTCTATACAAAAATTGCAGAAAGGGGCGCAGTGGGTTTAACGTCTGCCTTCGGCTCAGGTCATGATCCCAGCAACATGGGATCAAATCCTAGGAAGGCATGGGCTCCCTGCTCAGCGGGGAGCCTGCTTCTCCCTCTCCCACTCCCCCTGCTTGTGCTCTGTCTCTCTCTCAAGTAAACAAATAAAACCTTAAAGAGAGAAAAAGCTTAAAAAAAAAAATACAAGAAATAAATAAATAAATGCCTGACAGTTACAAGTTCTGTACTTCCTTCTGTGTGTGCATTTTATACTTTTCTAGAAGGAAGTCACGGTCAATTTCTCCTTCAGTAAACAGGACTGCAGGTGAGGACAAGGAACTCTATCCTGCATTCTGGAAGATCCCCGTCTACCTAAGCTTGTCCACACCCTGGTTCCTTTACAGGCTCCCGAAGTCTGGCTTCCTAGTCCACCTGCGCACTCATTACCTGCAACATTGTTCTGCTGTCTCAGAAACAGGACTCGGATGACATTGGCAGCCGTGAGCAGCAGCTTGGGGTCGCACATCTGCAGCAGCAAGAGCGTGTAATTTGCCTTGGTCCGGTGGGTGCTTCTCCCAAACCAGTACAGAATCTCCCTCATCTTCTGTTCTACGGTTTTATCCAACATCTGGTTCAAGGAAGACCTGACGATTTTCCCCTCCTTCCTGCTGAGGTTGATCCGGGACCGGCTGTAGATGAAATCCTTCCCCTCTGTGGTCTGAAGGATATTCTGAAAATAGTGCAGCAAATAGAAGCTATCCAGCTGCTCCAGGATGCTCACTAGAAACCTCCTCTGGGGCACCTCTCCCACCCTCCGGAACCACTCTTTGGTAGAGAAGATCTTCCAAGCCAAGACACATGTTTCGCACTTTTGGCACACGGGGACAGAACTGTCTCCCTTCTCACAACGAAAATAGGGGGCATTCCTGAGCCTCGGGTCCAGGTTTTCCATGATCCTGAGATGACCAGCTCATTTTATCCTTGCCCGTTGTCAACCCCACTACACACCAGAGGTAGAGGAGAAGCTGATAGGTATCCCAGTTGAGCCTTTTCTATTATAAACATTTCCCAGAGGAAAGGTTTCCCAGAGGAAACCCCTGCGTTGGATGGAAAGCTGATCTCTCCCAGAAACTGCCAGTAGAAGTCTGGCTTTTTGTACTGACCTCCAAGGAAACATGGCTTTTACCGTAAATCTCCTAAACCGGGCACTGCTTAGCTGCAGGCAGTTGCTGTATATTCTGAAAGAGCTGGTCATCCCATTTCTAGAACAACAAGAATA